TGGAGCAGCCAGTGGAACAGAGTTGGTAAGTGGGGCAGCTTCCTCATGGCACCTCAGTGGCTCTGTCTGGATTGGGCTCCAGTTCCTGCTCACATCCACCCAACTGGACCAGGCCCCTTCTCCAGGAAAAGAGGGCCTGGGAGGGGAGTGAGGTGTGTGGAGGCTCTGAGGGACTCTGAGGCTGTGTTTCATTGGACCTCTTTGTCAACATGGTTCTCTTTTCATTGAGGCAATGCCCTTCAGGGGAGCCCAGGTGGAGCCCTGCAGGCAGCATCAGTGGTTTATGTCCTTCAGGAAGAGCTAGCAGAAATCAGAGACCTAACCAGTCCACAGTTCCCTGAGACTCTGGAGAAGGCTCCTGGAGATAGGCCCAAACCTCTTGAACACCTTTCCCCAAGGAACTACAAAATGGCTTAACAATCATTGTTTTGGGGAAGGAGAAATTGTAGAAATCCAAAAGTCCCAGGTTAAGCCTGAAGCAATGATTTTATTTTAACGAAGCAACATGCACTGTGCCTGATTGTGCTGAACACCAGAGCAATGATGACTCAGAGACCCTGGAGGGCACGGACTGAGTCTCATCATTTTTATATTTCCAGCCCCTGGCAGTGCCCAGCATCTAACAGAGATGGATGAATGTTGAGGTGGATGACACTGCAACATCCTGCTTCATCACCTTTTTCACCTGTGTTTCTCAAATTGTCCAGCAATGTGAGATTTCCCAAAGCCTCCATTTCTCTCATCTTTATAGAGGGAGGAGAATCAAGACAACTTCAGTGGGTCGTCTCAACTCTAATTTTCACAGTCTAAGAATCCACGTGTTGTCATCAAAATGGTGAGACCTTAGGAAGTCAGGGCCTCAGGAAGCACTGGAGAATTCAAGGGGAATTTCTGTCCAGCACACATTAGGTGCTCAAAAAAAGTTAGTAGAAATGGAATAAATCTGGACTCAGCAAACAACTGTCAGCACCCCTACAGAGACCCAGGGGAGTTGCTGGGGATAAGGAGGTGGGGGATTTGAGGGAAGAACAGAAACTAGGGTAGGGCTAGGAACCTGAAGGAGGGGAAGAGCTGTGGCACACTGGGAGGCTGTTGCGTGGTGCCAGTTTCCTTGGGGAATTGTACCTGGGACCCTTCCAGTCTCTATCAGTCTCTCCAAGCTTCTTCTTCTTTAGACTAATGTTGCACCACACACACACACACACACACACACACACACACACACATATTGTCTTGGGAAATCAGAGAGGACACAGTTGTCCTTCACCTTGGGGAAGGAATGAGGACTGGGAAGCAAAGACAATTCACCTTCCCTTTCTCAAACCCCTCCCCAGATCATCCCTTGCTTCTCTCAGCCTCTGAGTAAGGGACTTCTCCCTCACGCAAGAAATTTCCCAGAATTCCCAAGGCTGAGTCACTTCCATGGAGGTGTCCGCTCTACTCCACTTTTCTATTTTAGCCCTTGTTCCTGAGAAGCTTTTCTAGGGTGTCATTTTTAACCTTTTGGACACCATGGACCCCTTTGGGAATCTAAGGGAGGCTCTAAGCCCCATAAAAATGACTTAACACAACAGATGGGATTTTGTATTTACTCCTCAGTCTTTAAAGCTGTTAGGAGCCAGTAATCCAGGTCAAGAATCCCTGTAATAAGAGTTTGCTGGACTACTAGCAGTGCAACTCAGGCGAGTGGCTTAACCTCTCTTTGCCTCAGTTTCCTTGTCTGTGATAGTATCCACCTTGTTAGGTTGTTATGAGGATTAAGGGAGATCTTGCATGTAGCGCCTCTTGCAATCACAACTGGCAGACGACGAGTATTCAATAAATGTCAGCTGATACTATTACTACATCCCTCGTGTGGTAATTCATAGTGGCATTGGTGGGGGAGGGGGGGTTCTTGACCTTCTATGTCAGAAACACAACGCCAGACAACGAAATAAAAGAAGAAGCTAGTGTTGATCCACTTCAGATGAAAAGTGGCTGGTGGTGGTAAGACTAGGGAGAGGTATCTCCAGGTCAGTTCCACAGGAAGGGATCTCTTCTTCCTCATCCCCAAGAACTGGAAAAGAGCATGCTTATGCCAAGCACCTGACATTTATTATCTCATGTATCCTACACAACAGCCCTGTGAAGGGAGCATCATTATCCTCACTTTACTTAAAAAGAAACTGAGACTCAGAAAGGTAAAGTGACTTGCCCAGAGTCACACAGCTACTAAGTGATGCAACAAGGTGTCAACGCCGGGTCTGGTCCCCAAGGTTATCTCCAGTGTGTCTAGGTGAAGAGTCAGCAAGCAGGAAAAAGCTGAGCAGGGCCAAGGACAAGGTCGCTGGGCCACATCCTTCTTTGGGGAGCCTAAGGAGCCCCTTATCTAGTGCTGCTGGGCAGACAAGGCTGCCTCCCTGGCGTGGGGAAGCCGTGGCAGGAGGACAGCGTGACTTCTGTGGCTGGCCTTGGCTTCCAAACTCAGTGACCTTCTGGAAGCTCAGGCTGGAGATGAGAGTGCAATTATTGCCAAACTCTTCAGCCTTGACCTATCCATCATCCACCTGCCCTTGCCACACAAAGTAGGGTCCTCAGCCGCACAGGCCAGGCAAGCAGGGGCATTCTCAGAACAGCCCACCCGCCCCTTCTCCAGGTCCAGGCATAAGCCCCAGGCCCCCATCTCTCCCTGGGAAGCTGCCTGCCTTTATCTGTGCCTCCCAATAACTCCTCCCTGCTGCCTTCCTTCCTTTCTGATTGTTAATCACAACATCTTGTCTACATTGTCTTTTTAAGGAAAAAAAAAAAAAGAGGAGGGGGAGGAAGGAGAAAGAGTAAATTTCCAGGAATTGTTTCGCTGCTGCTGCTCCTGTTCTTGGAGCAAAGCTGTTTGCCCCTCTCCTCCTGCTCAGTTGGCAAGGAGCCTGGGCTCCTACCCTTCCGTCTTTCCCCTCCTCCCAGTCTCTCTCTTTCCAGCTGCTTCCCTCCTCCCTTCAGAGAAAATCCCCCAAGTGAAAACTGCAGAGCTTTCACTTATTTCTTCCTGAGGGAGCAGCTTCCCTCTGTGCTTCTGCCAGAAGGAATTGCCATCACTTCCTCTTGCTGCAAATACACATTGGGTGACGTGAGGGCGTGGGGAGTGGGAAGCAGGTGCAGGTGAGGCTGCAGGGGGTGACGTCTCCACATGGGAGGGCAAAGGTCCTGAGGTGGAACATTCAGAGACCCAGGAGACATGAGCTGCTAAAGTGCAGTCTTGGGAGGAACGGAAATGGCCATGGGTCAGGATGTGTGGTCCATGTGAAAAGAGACCAGAACCAGCCTCTTCCTGGAGGATGCTTATCTAGTAGAGCCTCCTTCTGCATGGGTCAATGGCAAAAGAGAAGGAAGGAAAAATTCTCAGAAGGCTGCTAACTGAGAAAAGATATCCATAAGATAGAAACAGAGATCCTAAAGAGAGAGAGTAGAACTGTGAAAAATCAAAGTTAACCACATTTTACATCGTCATAGCTCATCGTGACGGATTTCTTAACCTAGGAATGGTCTGACATGTGAGTAGAGGTGTGACATAATAGGCAATATATACTTGGTCTCTGCCTCCGGTTCCTGACACAGAGTCCTAAAACCCTTGTAATTTCCTGAGTGATGGGGGTGATAGGAGCATCATATGCAGAGCTCCTAAAACCCTTAGAATCTCCTGGGTGAAAGGAGCATCTCCTGTTCTAATGGGGCGACTCTCAGTGGGCTCCTGATGGCTTCAGGATGGGGCTGGTCACTAGAAAGACCAAGCCTTGATTAGAAGCTTAGAACTTCAGTTTCACTCCACATCCTCCAGAAAGAGGAAAGGGACTGGAGATTAATAACCAACCATGCCTACATGATGAAGCCTCCATCAAAATCCCTAAACTATGAGGTTCAGAGAGCTTCTGGGTTGGTAAATGCATTCACATGCCAGGAGGGTGGTGCACCCCAACTCCATGGGGACAGAAGCTCAGGACCCTTCCTGACCTCATCGTATGTACCGCTTCATCTGGCTGTTCATTTGTATCCTTTATGATAAAACAGTAAACACAAGGAAATGTTTCCTTGAGTTTTGTGAGCTGTTCCAGCAAAGTATTGAAACTGAGGGGGTGCTGTGGGAACCCCCAACTTTGTAGCCATGTTGGACAGAAGTGTGGGTATCCTGGGGACCCACTGCTTGCGACTGACGCCTAATTGAGGACAATCTTGTGGGACTGAGCCCTTCAACCTGTGGAGTTTGACACTAACTCCAGGTGGTTGGTGTCAGAACGGATTTAAATGATAGGACACTCAGTTGGTGTCCGGAGAGTTGGAAAATTGGTTGGCATGGAGGAGAAAACCCCACACATTTGGTGTCAGAAATGCTGTGAGTAGAGAAACAGTTTTTCTATAGGAGGCTTTAAGAAAACTGGAAAATTAAAAATATTCCTTCCCACGGTGATGGTTGGTGGTGAGGGTTGCACACCAATGTGAATGTACTTAATTCTACTGAATTGCATACTTAAAACTAGCTAAAATGTGGGGCTGGCCGCGTGGCTGAGTAGGTAAGTTCACACGCTCCACTTTGGCTGCCCAGTTCAGATCCTGGGCACGGACCTACACACCGCTCATCAAGCCACGCTGAGGTGGCATCCCACATAGAAGAGCTAGAATGACCTACAACTAAGATATACAACTATGTACTAGGACATTGAAGAGAAAAAAAAAAAAGGAAGATTGGCAACAGATGTTAGCTCAGGGCCAATCTTCCTGAAAAAAAAAAGCTAAACTGATAAATTTGATGTTATGTTTATTTTACCACAATAAAAAAATTAATTAGCAAACTTGAAAAAAAATCCCATCGTCGAATGGATAAACAAAATGTGGTATATCCATGCAATGGAATATTACTCAGCCATAAAAAGGAATAGAGCACAGATACATGCTACAAAGCAGATGAACCTCAAAAATATTTAATTGAAAAAAACAGACACAAAGGTCACACATTGTATGATCCAATTTATATTAAATATCCATAATAAGCAAATCCACGGAGACAGAAAGCAGAATGATGGTGGCCAGGGGCTGGAGGAAGAAGGGAATGGGAGTGAGCACCTAATGAGTGTGGGGTTCTTTGGGGTGATGCAAATTTTCGGAGCTAGATAGAGGGGCTGGTTGCACAACAATATGAATGACCAGACACCACTGAATCGTATCCTTTAAAAGAGTTAATATTGTTATGGGAATTTCACCTTGATTAAATTTATATACCTAATTCCCTCCAGCCAACATACCTTTGGCCCTAAAGCCCACAAAATGTAGACCCAGCTGCAGGTGGCTCTGCCATCTGTGCAGTGTGGCTTGCGTGAGACAGGTAACCTCTCTGGGCCTCACAGAGGAAAAGGAAGCCCATCCTTCCTCCCCACAGGGGTGCCTCAGGGATCAAATGGCTAACTGAGCGAAAGTGCTCTGAGAAGCAGGAAGGCCCGCTGACACAAGGTGGTCACCAACAACACAAATCCACGGGCTTCGAGCCTCACCCTATGGCCTGCGGGGGGCGGGGAAGCCCAGTAACACTCTCTGTGTGTCTCTCTGTCTCTCTGTCTCTCTGCCACACTCGGCCACACTTCACAAGGAGAAGTACCATGCAGTGGGAGGGGAAGGACGCTGTTCTCCTGCGCACCCAGGAGTCCCCCTGAAGCTGACACAGCCCCCTCCGCCACCCCACATCCAGTCTTTCCTCTCCCTCCTCACCTCAGATGGCAAAGAGCGGCTGGGCAGAAGGGCAGCAGGTGCGTGTGAGCCAGCAGGGGAAGGGCCAGGGCGGTTACAAGTCTGACTGATTTTCACATTTATTTTAGCCCTCCCACCCCCATCCTTTTCTGCTTCAGTAGGAATCAAGACAGACAAGGGAGACTGGGATTCCAAGCAGATTTAGAGCGTGGAAAACACATGCGTGTGTAAAACGTGTACCACAGGCCAGCCCTGTGCTAAGCATTTTGCCTTGATGGCTCATTTAATTCTCACAACACCCCGATAGTAAATACTATTACTGTCCCATTTTGAATTTTGCAGAGGAGAGAAGTGAGGCTGAAAGAGGTAAACTCGCACAGCTAGAGTGAGGAGTCTGGGTTTTAACGCTTGCAGCCTGACTCCTTCCTGCCACAGTGGGTCTTTTGCTGTGACTTCCCCTCTAACTGGATTGGGGGAAGGCAGGAAAAACCCTGACCCTCTCCCACCGAGCTTCAGCCAGTGATACTGCTTCCTGGATGAGAAGGGCGGCCCCAAAGCCCGCAGCAAGGCCGGCGCCACGGCCACCATCCCTCCAGACTCCTCACAGCTCTGCAGCAGCCCAGACCCGCTGGCCCTCCAGGACTGGAGGTGCTCCCGACAGAAAGTCAGGTTAGTGTCGTCCTCCCAGGGAAGAAGGGAATCAGGGCTTGGAGACAACTGGCTTTCCTGCCTGTTCCACAGATGTTCTCAGGGATGAATTCGGGGTGGGGGTGGGGTGGTGAGAGTGTGTGTGTGTGCGTGCAAGTGTCCCACATCCATAGCCCAAATGGCAAGATGGAGCAAGAGCCCCTCAGCAGGCCCGTGTGAAAGGGCCAAGGGGGGAAGCGCCAGGAGAGGAATGAATGTTGGAGCCCACCTGGCACTTGGGAGTGGATGGGACTGGCCAGCTGGGAAGAAATCTGGTTGGACACAAACAGTTCTGGTCTTTCCCATCACTGAGGCCCCTTAACAAGGCATCTCTGCTCTTGCGTCAAAGCTGACAAGGGAGTTGTTTACTATTTATCCACAGTTCGAGGGCTAAGCTTCCCTTCTTGCCTCTCCACACCAAGAATCTTTCCCCAAAGCCTCATGGCCCCTGTGGCCCGCTGCTTTGGGGACATAAGGCTGCTTTAGAGGTCTCGTTTTTCTTCCAACCCTCTCTTCTCCCCATTAGGCGTTTGCTGGTCCTGATGTCAGTCATGCCCAGCGTGGGGCCAGGCCCCTCTGAGGGCTTCACCACCGCGCCCACCAGCGACCTTGAAGAGATCCACAATTGGAACGAACTGCTCCACTTCTTCAACCACACTCTGCCCGAGTGCGAAATGGAGCTTGACGAGAACACCAAGCGAGTGGTCCTCTTTGTCCTCTACCTGGCCATCTTCGTGGTTGGGCTGGTGGAGAACATCCTGGTGATATGTGTCAACTGGCGCTGCTCGGGCCAGGCGGGGCTGCTGAGCCTCTACATCCTTAACATGGCCGTAGCAGACCTGGGCATCGTCCTGTCTCTGCCCGTGTGGATGCTGGAGGTCACACTGGACTACACCTGGCTCTGGGGCAACTTCTTCTGCCGCTTCACTCACTACTTCTACTTTACCAACATGTACAGCAGCATCTTCTTCCTGGTGTGCCTCAGTGTTGACCGCTACGTCACCCTCACCAACTCCTCTCCCTCCTGGCAGCGCCACCAGCATAAAGTGAGGCGGGCAGTGTGTGCAGGCGTCTGGGTCCTCTCGGCCATCATCCCACTACCCGAGGTGGTCCACATCCAGCTGGTGGAGAGCTCTGAGCCCATGTGCCTCTTCCTGGCACCCTTTGAAACATACAGCACGTGGGCCCTGGCGGTGGCCTTGTCAAGCACTGTCCTGGGCTTCCTGCTGCCCTTCCCTCTCATCGCAGTCTTCAATGTGCTGATGGCCTGCCGGCTTCAGAAGGCAGGATGGCCGGAGGGCCGACGCCACTGCCTGCTGGTGTGTGCCTACGTAGCTGTCTTTGTCATCTGCTGGCTGCCCTACCACGTGACCCTGCTGCTGCTCACACTGCATGGGACCCACGTCTCCCTCCACTGCTACCTGACCCACCTGCTCTACTTCTTCTATGACATCATTGATTGCTTCTCCATGCTCCACTGTGTCGTCAACCCCATCCTTTACAACTTTCTCAGCCCAAGCTTCCGGGGCCGGTTGCTGAATGCTGTGGTCCATTACCTCCCCAAGGTCCAGGCCAGGGAGGGCAGACACGCTTCCTCTTCCTCCTCCTCCACTCAGCACTCCATCGTCATCACCAAGGAGGACATGCAGCCCACTGCAGCAGGCCACCCTAACCTGAACTTCCAGGCACCAAATACCTCATCCATCCCTGCTCCTCGAACTCTACAGCCAGCTGAGGCAGATTCCAGCCGCCTCCATCAGTGAATTAAAAACTGGAGGTGTAGGTGAGAGATGTGCGGGGGAGGGTCAGAGCACTCGTGGTCAATTTTGAGTATGTCTTAAAATATTGGGGTGGGGAGGGGGAGAAGGGACAGGGAGGGAGAGAGAACAGGTCCTTGGGGGTGTACTATTTGTCTCGGTCTTTGTGTCTAAGGGAGACATGCAGGAAAAAAGGTGACATAAATAAAAGAGACAGCCATGACTCTGGATGTGTGAAAACCCCGCCCTTGCAGGCAGGATTGGGAAGGGAGCGAAGGCTAAAGAGATGCCCAGCAGAAAGTAGATGCCCTCATTTCAGAAATCGCCCTGGCCGGAGACAGCAAGGTCCATGGGACCTCACAAAACTTTCCTTTCACGTCTGCGTGCTTGTTGATCTCCCTGCACACCATGCAGGCTGTGGGGACAGAAGCCAGAGGCCAAGGAACCAGGAGGCCTCAGCAGGATGTTCCCAGCAGTGTAACCCCAGAGATATGAGAAATGGACGGGGTGGGGACAGGAGGCGGTGGGGCCTGAGACAGGCACCTTGCAGCTGGGTTGGCAGGATGGTTCTCCGCCCCCCATCCAGGAAATGGCTCCATTTCCTCCCCTTTCCTGACACTCTCCCCTTCAGCCACCCTGCTCCCCTCCACCCAGAGCAGAGGAGCTGTCCCAGAGTCAACACTCCCCACAGCCCATCTCCTCCCTGCTTTGGATCTAGGACATTTCCAGACTTCTCAGAAGAGATGCTATCCAAAATCCACCCTGCCCCTCCCTTTCTCTCCAGATCAGAGGAAAATATCGAGACACCTATTCTGGGAGCAGACCTTGGGACAGCCAGCAGCAGGCACTGACAGATGGTGTCCACGAGCTTTTGTCCCCTGCGAGAACTAAGTCAGCTCTTCTCACCCTTAGACTTCCTCCTCCCTGGCCAAATCTTTCCATAACTTTCCTGTCTGGCAACTTACTTCTGTTAACACTTGTCCTATAGATAGGAAAAGAAGACCTCTTGTTAACTAGTAGGTCTTCTGGAAAAGGTCATTTATCAGTTTGGGAAACCGGGATCGTGTCCATGAAGACCTCTGACTGAAGTAAAATCCTAAGAACTGGTCCCAGTCCACCAGTTCCAAGTCCTTGGCCTCTTAATCCTGCCTGTGGAGAGGGAAAGGCTTGTGGACATAAACACTGAGGGCCTCTGGCCTGCTCACGTGCTCTGGACGGCTGCAGTGTCTAACCTGGAGCAACCACACACTGACCTGGAGCCTGTCTCCTCTGCTCTTAGAACCTACCAGGATATCCGTTCAGCAGGTGCATTAAACATGCACTCCCACCGTGTCTGCACCCGTTTGTCAGGAGCACGGAGGGAAATCTGTATCCATAATCCCCCCGCCCACTGGGCCCAAACCTGAAAGGGGCTTAAGCTACACACAGCCACTCGGTGGCAGAGCGGAGGGCCTCTCACCCAGGAGAGTGCAGGTGGGAACTGGGGGTGGCAGCAAGGGCTTAACCCACAAGGTAGAAAATGCATTAAAGACTTTCCGTCCTTGTGTCCACATAAAAACCAAGCCAAGACCTGATGCCCATATCACTGCCTCCTCTGACTCAGGCTCCAGAAGTTTCCTAAAGGAAGTCCAATTTTATACCTCTGGCTCATCCCAGGTTACCTCAGAGGCCACTTCCCCAAGATCCTGCTCGCCTCACGGATTTCACTCTGGTGACCAGTTATCGCCCTGGTGGCGCGAACGCTTCCTTAGGGCCTTGGGAGGAGAGAGAACTGTCTGCGCTAACTGCAGCACGGCTGCCCAGCCAGCATTCACTGAGCACCGACGGGGGCCGAACCACCCCTCATTACTAGAGGTCTGTCTCCCCTGTGGGGGTACATGTTGCCAACCTCATGAGTCTGCTTCTCTCCTCTCCAACGTACCACATCACAGTCAATTAAATGGCATTGGCAAGACAATTTGTGGCCAACTCTCTAGTCTAACTAGACATTAGCAGAGTCCCACTGCTCTCTTTGGGCCAACAGATCGCCTCAGGGATGTTTCCCCTGAAAGGTTGGGTCAGACATATTTCCCACTAAAAACATGTCAACCTGGGGAATTCCAGCTCCAGGAAAGGAAAACATGCTGATAGAACTCTGGCATCTGCTGAGAGAATGCTGCTTCTGGAAGGGCGACAGCCCCGAGGCTCTGAGCGCGAGGGACGAGCATGTGACAGTAAATAGGAAAAGAATTCCCTCCCATTTCAAATGTCCTTTTTTTATTCTAAATAAAAACCACACTTTGTGCTGAACAATGGAATATAAAAGAATCAGATGTACAACGATTTAAACATCTACTATTTGGGAAAAAAAGTTTACAAAATATACAAAACTTTACAGCAATAGATAGTAAACACTTAAATATTAGGAGGTCAGTACTTCTTAATTTAATGGAAGGAGTTAGACGTCAATAACTCTTCTCTGTTTCATAAGAGACTTTAGCTAGTAGAGGTGAGAGGGTAGACAGGGGTGTTAAAGAAACGTCAAAATCAAAAGGTTCATTTTCATTCTGATGTTAAGTTTACGATGAGGATCACATTGAAAAGAACACTGTGTGCCCTGCTTCCTGGCTCATTCAGTGCAGGATTAGGACAAAGGACATGTGAGGACCCCCAGAAGGGCACAGACTTCGCCACACAGCCCACTCCCATGCCAAAAAAATCAGTGCCCACCTACAAAGGGATGTAAATTCATTATGAGTTGAGTAGTCTGGGGAACAGAGCACAGCAGGAGGCTAGAAGTGGAAGAAAATTCATCAGTAGCAAAACCTGACTGGGGAGAAGGTATTTAAGCCCAAAGCCTTGTCCTGGAGACCAAAGGGTGCTGACAGATGGGGAGAAGAAAGTCAAAATGAACTTTGACCCATTTCCTGGTTCTTGGGGGTCACCTTGGCTGGACCCCACCTCCTTTCTCCCCAACTAGCCATGAACTATAGAGACTCCACGGAGTCTTACAGTTTAGGAACAAATACTAGGGCACAGCAGAGCTTTGCTGAGGGTGCTGGGAGTGCCGGGACACTGACCCCCTCCTCTGGCCACAAGCAGCCTCCGCTGTTTACACCAGCATGCCGGAAAGCATTACCCTTTTCCCTCAGGAGACACATTGGGAATGGCCTTGTGCTTGGTTTAACGCTCTATAGTCACCATCTGGAAATTTCTTAATAATTTTTAAACAAAGGGCTCTGCAAATTGTGTAGCCAGTCCTGAGTACAGAACAAGATAAAAGGGGAAAAAGGTGAAGACATTTAAGGGTCAAACAGAACCTGGGAACAATACAGCAGGAGACAGTGCTCAACGGGGCTCCAGGGCCTCAGTGGCATTAAGATCAAATGAACAGAAGGTTGAAAAATTAAAAACTCAAAATAAAATGAATGCCTTCCACCAGGTATCCTAGGGTGCCCTTCACCTGTCTAGCGTTTCAAGTAAAAGTTCGGAAAAGGGTGAGCTGGGGGCAGAGGCAGCCAACCCGACTCCACACAGAGGGAGGGTCAGGCCTGAACGTGAGGGACACGCGGAGGAACAGGGTTTGGTCAGTGAGCCACATGAGCTGCTGACCCTGCGACTGTCTGACTGCAGCCAGCCCGGCTACCCTCTCCAGCCCCCTGGCCTCCGGAGGATCGGGGGTGCAGGTTTTTGTTTAGTGTTTCAGGGGCAGAGTTTCAAGGATTTGCTTTTTGGTTTACTGGCAAAAAGGGAAAACTTCACAGTTTCAGGTTAAGTATACAGACTACCCAGCATCCCTGACACCCTCTGTTAAGGAGAAGCGTTTCTCCAGCACACTGATCCATTCTCTGCTATTGTTTGGCCTCTCTCAAGCCCGGCCATTCAAACAGCAGTCCTCACCCAGCCTGCGAGGGGTCACTCAGGCCTCGGTGGCTTCGTGGACCACAGCGTTCCACACATTTTCCTTCTTAAATTCCTAATGGTCAGCGTGCGCCAGTCAGGGATGAAGCCTCAGCGCTACTTTCCTGACAAGAATGTCCCGAGGGAACATTCCACAAGTTGCGTTTAGAGGGTGAAAGGTGGCCACTTGTACAAGTCCCTTCACGTAATGTCATCCGACCAGGGAGCGGTGCACTCCATCTGACTCGGAGGCATCATCACCTTGGGGCCGGGCGAGCAGCAGCAGGCCCACCGGGGCACAGCTCCGCCTGCCTGTGGGTCTTAATACAGCTTCCCCAGTCCAGGAAGGATGGGAAAACAGCAGAAAGGTCCTTCAGGTGACTTGATCCCCTCATCCCAGTCCCCAATCTACTCAATCACAGGATGGAACGGAGTTGAAAGGCCTAGGAATTTAACAAGCCCCAACTTCTCAGAACTTACATCCATTACCTAAGGGGTTCCCTGGGTTTATTCTGCAAGAGACAATCTGGAAAGAAAGAAAAGAATCTGCTTGTTTCGAGGCTTGACACGGTCTCCCCTAGTTCTACCCCGTTTCCCTCATCTCTGGCCCGCACTATCCACCGGAATATGGCTACTTGCTGGGGAGAAACTCATTTTCCTAAAGTCTCTTATCCAAACGAGATGCTGAGTAATATGCATACAACAACAAAAATAAATAAATATAACGTCCAAAGAGGCTCTGTGAGTTCATTAAAACCACTTGCTTGTGAAACAGCCCGGGGTGCTGCCGAGTCCCACCAGGGGCAGCGTCAGGGCGGAGGCCAGGACTCCCAGAGCTCGCCGGAGCAGGGTGAGGTAGTATGAGTGACTGCGGTGCCACCTTGTGAGCATGCGGGAGCCGAGGGCCTTCTCCCTCAAACCTTCTTTGGGCAAGACCTCCTCAAAAGCCAACCAAGAATGGAGCCAACCAGCCCCCTGGACTGGGCAGACTCATCCCCTGGCCACCTGGGGAGCGCCCAAACCAGCAGCCATCCAACGGCGCCCCCTGGTGGCCATGCAATGACAGATCAGGGTAAATTCCAGCAGATCAAAGGTGAGCTGCCAAAGCTCCCGCCCAGTTAACACAAAGTAAACAACAGGTCATCTGCCTGGGACAGACAGAACGCACATCTGGCTACACACCACCAGTTACTCGAGGGGTCCCTTTAATCCTGAAGGGCTCACAGTCCACCACTTCACCACCTCATGGGCTTTTCTCATCTAGACTAGACTTCTAAGGTGGGAGACTGGATGTAAATTAAGGCAAGGCTGCTGCTGTCAGAGACATCCCCACCTCTCCACCAGGGAACTCAAGGTCGATGGAGGTGGCCAGATGACAAACAACTATATCACAGTGGCTCCCTGTCCTCTTTGCCCCACAGGGAAGAGCTGACGTCCTGGGCCATCACTCCATGCAATCGTGTTTCTTTGGAATTGAGGAGAAAAGAGAAGCCTCTGTTCCCGTCCATCCAGGCTGCCACTCCTGGCGGCCCTGCAGGACACCTCTCCCAGCTAGCAAGGATTCATCCCAAAGCTTTCTGACCTAAACAGAAAGCTTTGTCCCCAGTTTGGATCTAGCTGCCAAAAGATTTTACTGTCCACTCAGCAGATTAGAGCCGTGAAACCAGCAGGCACCTCCATCTCCGAGGCCCCTTCCCTGCTGAGGGCTGAGGGCTGGGCCTGGAACCCAAAGCAAGCTGCCCTGCTGACTCGTCTTTTCCAGATGACCACATTCCCCAGATCTCTCTCAGAGCAGGTGTCCCAGCGGGAGGTCTGATGGTAATAGCCACAGTGAAAACCTCTCTCCACCTCCTCTATTTAGTGAGGCTACTGGTTGGGTTCTTAGCAGCATAAACCTATCAGTAAACTAAAACTTGAGAGGCTGGGGAAAGGGATCTAGTCAACACCAACTGCCTGACGAGATCCCCAAACCAGCCCCAAAAGAATCAAAAACACAGCCCTTCGTGGGCAAGAACAGGTAAGGAGGTAAACATGATAGGGCCGTTGCTTCTCAAGAACAGTAACAGCTCATGTGCTATTTCTTCTTTTTTCTTCTTTTAACACAAAACAGAACAGAAGTCGTAGCAAGGCAAAATTGGAACTTCAGCTGGGGAGGGACCAACGGCCACTAGAAAGCCAATGTCCTGGCTGCCGCCTGGGAGCTCCCCCGGCTCTGCTGGGACCCAGTCAGCTGTCCGGGTTCTTGTCCGCCTCTTTGGAATGAATAATGTACATGAATGTCTGCTCGATGGTGAAGTCGGGCGGCAGGCTGCCTTTGTGCACACCAACGTGCTTGCTCATGAGGTTCAGGGTGGAGCTGTAGTGGCCACAGACCGTGCAACGGTACATGAGGGCCCCCGAGTGTGTCTTGAGGTGGCACTTGATAGTCGAGCGGCCTCGGAAGAATTTGTGGCACACCTTACACTGGTAGGGCTTCTCGCCCGTGTGGATCCGTCGGTGGTAGTTGAACTCGCTTGTGTGGGCAAACCTTTTGCCACAGACCTTGCAGTTATACTTGCTGTTCCCAGGTTGGCCCTGCAGAGCCAGCTCCTCACCCAGGTACTCCTCTGCTGGCAGCTTCCGTTTCTGGAGAGCTGGGTGCTGTAGCCCAAAACCAGGTCGCGCGTCAAGACCACTGTTGCATTTGTGCTGACTGACGTGGTAGCGATAGGCAGCCTCTGACTTGAAGCTCTGGCTGCACAAGTGGCAGCGGAAGAGGGCATCTTCCAGGCTTTGGTGCACAGCCATGTGCTTCTCCAGGAGATGCCAGTCCACAAAGCTATTCGCACAGACAGAGCAGGAGAAGACCGAAATGCCGAGATGGGAGAGCGTGTGCCACATGAGGCTGCAGAGGTTGAGGTGGCGCTGGTCACAGACGCTGCAGGCCTGGCCCTTCAAGTTTAGATGGTCAAGGATGTGGCCCCGAACTACGTGGAAATCTTTGGCCAATGCCTTCCCACAGGCGGCACATTTCAACTCTACAGAGGCTGTCCCTGAAAAGAGACCCAACTTCCCAGGCAGGGGATCATTAGGGTGGACAATGATGTTGTTCTCAAATATTCCATCCCGCCGGTGGAAGGTGAGCTGCCACTGGGTAAAGAACTTAGTTTCACACATGTCGCAGGAGAAGAGGAAAATACCAATGTGGGACAGAACATGGGTCACCCGGGAGTTTCGATCCTGGAAGTGGGTCTCACAGACCTTGCAGTTGCCTGTCAGCAGGTCCACATGGTCCCGAGCATGCTGTCGGATCAGTTGAATGTTAGGCTCTAGAACTTTCTTGCACACCTGGCAGGGCATGGCTTTATTCTCTCGGTTGTCATTCTCTCCAAAAGTTAGCTCGTCCTCACTGTCGTCGCTCAGCTCAATCACCTCCTCAGCTGTGCCTATCTCCTCGGTAGGGTCTTCAAACTGCAAGTCATCATCCCCAAGGTCCTCCAGCTGGAGCTCATCCATCTGCCCAAAGCCTGGATCTCTGGAGTGGTCGCTATTGCTCAGACAAGAGTTGGTCCCAGTGGTAATGTCTATTGCATTGTCAGGGGTGAAGAAACTGTTTTTACTGAAGTCTCCATTGCTCTGAACTTTGTACGGCTGGCAGGAGCTCGCGCTGGTCTGGATGCCCATGCTGACAGTGCCTAGGATTGGCTGCGTCACCACACTAGGAACAGACGGGAAAGAAGCAGGGGCATCATGATCTTCTGTCTTTGGTGGCAGTGGCTGCTGTGGCAGAGGCAGACTATGATTAGTGTCACTGGTAAGATTTCTCTCTTCCTCTTTATAGCTCCCTCCAGCATCACTAGGTAACACATAGTTTCTATCAGGACCCAAGTGCTCCCCAGTGCCCCGGAGTTCCCCAAGGGGCTGAGGGGGTTCTGCTGCACTACAACTCAGGGTACCAGCGTGGCTCTCACTGGTGCCAGTCAGGGGCTTGGCCACAGCAGTGCTCTCCAGGTCAGGAAAAGTGGAGTGACAGGCCCGGAGGAGGTCCTCCATACCCAGACGCTCAGCTACCTCGTAGATGACCCCAACATTGATCAGGTCCGTGAAGAGCTCTGATGTGTAGACAAAGCTCAGAATCTTCTCAAAGTTGGCGGGGGTAATGAAGTCCACGACATAGGTCCTGGCAGCATCAAGCCCAGTATTCAGGAAGAGGTTCTGGAAGTAGCCAGCCGCGCAGGCCAGCACAGCTTTGTGGGCCGGGAAGGAGCGGCTTCCCACCACAATGGTGACATCGCACATGGTCTCTGAGAGCCGGCACTTGTTGAGCTCCTTCAGCAGGTTGTTGGGGTGGTTGGTGCTTTGCAGTTTGATCCTCATGCCCATCTTAGCAGCTCCTATAAGGTTGCCTCCTTACCAGCACAGTTAACCTGTGGACAGCAAAAGGAAAAGATGGATGGCCAAACACATTCCTGCAAGTGAGGAGCTCTGCAAGAGAAAACACCGCCAGTCAGAGTGCTTCCAGGGCCAGGCGGGGAGCGGGTGTGAATGGACATGGAGAGCTGCTCCAGTCGGCTGGGGCAATGACCTCTCTCCCTGCATTCTCCCAAAGCCAGAGCTGCCATAACAAAATAGAAAAGTAGTGAGAAACACCTGATAGCTTGGTCTTTCAGAGTCAGTGAGAGAGGTTGCCGGCCTGGTTGGACAGAAGTTAGCGCCTCAGAGCCAAGCCAGAGACATGCTCTCAGACCCGATCCTACACCTCACCGCCAGAGCAACTGGCTCCAACGTCCCTCAGATTAATTCCTGATCGATCCCGAATACAAGCCCTCCTAGCTCACAGAGTATATTCTCTTCCTTCCGATGCCAAACACCGTAAACCACACACTCGAACACAATTACCAAAGCTCCATTAGCTACTGAGGAAAAGATAAGGATGCTCCATCTTTTAGTTTTCTATCATTGCTGTGTCCTTTCGGTCCCTAAATACACCTCTTGCTCATTCTTGCCTTCCCTCTCTCCCTACCTATTCTCTCCTCTCTCCATTACCCCGAGCCATGCAGCTACTGCTGGACCACATTCTCTGTACGCTGTGGATGAAGTCAAAACACTGAGAAGCCAAAGAAGTAAAGCAAACCAGAACACACCCGTGGTATTTAATATCACTTAAATAAGCTTTCTTTCTTTCTCCCACCCTTTTTGGGATTTCTGCTTACGCTGACCAGAACTAAGAGATTTACTTGACACCATAAGAAGGCATCTAATTAGAGATCAGACTCCAGCAGGCTTGCTCTCTACCACTTTCCCCCTTGCCAGTCCTGCAGGCCTTAGGAAGACTAGCTAGCTGCACTTTCATTCAGTCTCACGACTCGCCCTGCAAAACACAGCCCCCTCTCACCCTCAGCACATTCTACTAACTCCCGACTTTTGCTGGGGCCCAGGCAGCTTCTGAGCATCGCTGGGTACCAGCCCAGCATCTCCCGGGTCCTGGCGGCCACCCATCAACGGCCAGCAGGTCGGGCGACCCGGCAGCCTGAGCGGGGGCGGGAGGCGCGCAGACTCGGAACTTCAGAGAAGGCACCCCAACAATCCCGCGGCGCCGCGGTCTCCCCTCTGGAGGGTCGAATCCGGGGGCAAGGGCGCTGCGTCGGGCTGGGGCACTCCAGCTGGGGGGCACCGAGCCCTCGGTCCCTCCCCAAACAGGGGGGGTGCCCCAGGCGACTCGGGGCGGGGGCGGGGGCGGGCACGCAGCGGGGCGCGGGGCCGACCGGGCACCGAAGGGATGGGCGGCGGGGCCGGCCGGGAGGATGGGCCGGCCGAGGGGAACGGGCGGGAGGGAGCCCGGCGCGAGCGAGAGAAAGGCCGGCCGGGGTCGGGCCTCGGCCAGGGCAGCCGTCGGCTGGGCCGCGCTTACCCGGCTCCGCGGGGCCCGAGCACCATCGCCGCCGCCGCCTCACACAAAGGCCCCGGCCCGCCGTGCCCGGCCCGACGAGGAGGCGGCGCCGCCGGCCGCGGCCAGACTCTCCATCCGCCGCGCCGCTCGCCGCGCCGGCCCGGGCCGCCCCGGCCGCCCGGCCCGCAGCGCCCCCCGCCGTCCCGGAGGAGGCAGCGCCCCCCGCCGCTCGGCCGCAGCGCCCCCAGCCGCCCGGGAGGAGGCAGCGCCCCCCCACGGCGGGGCCGCCGCGAGGCCGGAGGGCCCGCGGCCACGCAGCCTCGGCCGCCCCGCGCGACCCGCCAGTCCAGCCCGCCGAGCAGGTGCGCGCGCGCCCCCCGCCCCGGCCCCAGGCCCCAGACCCCCGGCCCCCGCCCCCGCGGTGGCTCTTCCGGAGCGCGCGTCCGCCGGGTGGAGGACCAGCGCCGCCCCGCTGGGCCACTGGAGAAGAGCACAACCCTGTCCCACCGCCAAGCTCCCGTCGCTTCCCCGGTCCTACATCTCACAGTGCCAGAAGCTCCATCTCCAAATGTCTGCCCCTGTAGTTTTGCAAAAAGTTGTGAGACTGTTTGATTGACGTATGTCTCCGCCGCCAGGCCGTGAGCTTCCTGAAGGCAGGAATCTGTGGTTCTGCGCCTCTGTCTTCCCGGCGCGTCCACACTCTTCCAGCCTGTTTGAGTGAATGAACAAGGATTTGAGGGCCGGCCCCTGGTGGACCCCCTCTGAAAATTCACTGCTGCCCCTCCTTCCACCCAGGTGGCCAAATAAAGGAATTCACAGGATCCCACTGCACCTTGGCAACCCAGGCCCAGTGCCTGCAGCCTGTCTTCCCTGAAGGGGAGCAGAATTTGCCAGGCCAAAATCTGCCTCTTCGGCATAAAGGTTATTTTAGGCTCATTAATTTTAAGAAACGGCAGACACAGGAGAAGCTCTGAAAACTGAGAAGTTACCCTTTGTAAGAGACATTTGCATTTAGAAAGGAAATCTCCGTTTGTAAGGGTGTCTCCCTCTCTGCGCCAGGAAGAGAAGGACGGTAAATCTCTAGAAATTCTCATCAATGGAGAAGGCAGCAGATTAAATCTGCATTACAACCTTACCGTTGTGTACTGTGCTTTGCCTGAAAACCTCCCATCACCACCCCTCCCCCCCTCCCCCCAACATCTTCTTTTGTGTTTAGCTGGAGATGGTATTTAAGGTGGTGGGTGGCTTGGGCCATTTTGAGGAATTACTCAGCCTGGGTATCTCTCATGTATACAGAAGGTATATGTGTTATTAAACTTCTGTTTGTTTTTCTCCTGTTAATCTTTCTTTTACTACAGGGATGGGTCTCAGCCAAGAATCTAGAGGGTAGAGGGAAAATTATTTTTCCTCTCCTGCATTCCCAACTCTCTCTAGAGCTCCATCATTCTGCTTCTCCCTACGCTTCTCCCTTAGTGAGCAGGTATTCTCCAAATTCTCTCATCAAATGCTCCTGCCCAAGACCTGTCATCAAACCGAAACCACTTGCCCTGCCTGCGCCCCCCCCCCCCAGCACTACAGTGGTCCCCCTTATCTGAGGGTGGTATGTGTTCCAAAACCTCCTGGTGGATGCCGGAACCAGCACACAACATAACCACCAGCCCATTTAGAGCCAGTTCAAACAGACCCATCTCTTATCAGCAGAGTGATTAAGAAATTGTCTTCCAGAAAATTTACAAAGTCACATAGCCAGAGCATGCACAGAAGAAGAAATCTTAACCTGAAATGACCATAGAATCAAAGATTCTCCTCCCCGCAGAACCAAAGGACTGGGAGATGACCGGAACTTAAAAGTCAGACTCTTATCGGAAGCGAGGGGTCCGTCATTCAGGAAGGTCCAGTGTTAAAATCCCTTCCCCACCTCATCATAAATGTTTAGAACCTCATCATAAGTGTTTAGAATCTCATGATATATGTTTAGAACCTCATCATAAGTGTTTGGAATCTCATCATAAATGTTTAGAACCTCACCATAAACTGTTAGAACCTTACCATAAATGTTTGGAACCTTACCATAAATGCGTGAAGCCCACCAATCAAAGCCTGTCCCACCAGCCTTTCTGCATCCCAGCCCGTGCTCCCTAACCTCTTAAATTTCACCCCAAATCCTGAATCAGAGAGACAGATCTGGGGCCACACACCCCCATCTCCCTCCAGACCCATCTCAGAATAAAGCTAATTTCTCTTCCCAAAAGCTGGTGCCATAATTAATTGGCTTTTTTATGTTCATCAGGTAGAAGGATCCCATTTTTGTGCAGTAACAATAATACCAAACCCTATGTATACTAGGTTTTTTCCTAAACATACGTACCTACGGTAAAGTGTAATTCATAAATTATGTATAGTGAGAGATTAACAACAGTAAATAATAATAAAGTTGGCTTTGGGGCCGTTAAGTAAATAAGGGTTACTTGAACCCAAGCACTGTGATACCAGGACAGTCGCTCTGACAACCCAGATGGCTACTCAGTGACTAATAGGTGGGTAGCATATACAGCATGGATACGCTGGACAAAGGGATGGTTCATGTCCCAGGCAGGACAGAGCCTGATAGCATGAGATTTCTTCATGCTACTCAGAACAGGAGAAATTTTAAACTTATTTCTGGAATTTTCAGTTTAGTATTTTCAGACTGCATTTGACTGCGGGTCACTGAAATGGTGGAAAGCAAAACTGAGGATAAGGGAGGACTACAGTACCACCAAAAACACTGGAAGTCGTGGTCACCCCACTCTCTCTCCTCAATTCGTAGGAAGCCCTCAGGCTCCAGAGCCCTTCTGTTTCAGCATCTCTCCTCACTCATCCTGTCCAGCCCAATGACAGAAGGCAGGCAGGAGCGTGGTAGAGTTTGGTAATTCCTCGACAGATGAATGGGGAAGAGGGAGACACACAGAATGTTGCCAACTGATCTGAGCCAGTTTGGCTGTTCAGCAATCATCAGTTATCCTGACGAATTTGGGAGATTGTGTGTCCCCTTTTCCACAACCTCACTAACTGCTGGTAGATTATACTGAAAGCAAGCATTACACCAAATGCTTTGAAGCATGTGATATTTATTAGCAAAGAGAAGCAAAACAGCCATATAAGCCGTTCTTGCTGTTTGGGAGCAGGCAGTCCCACTTAGCTCTCTTGTGAAAGGGTCTCTCAGAGGCTGATACATGTTCCAACGGCAGATCCAACCCTTACAGCTGGATGAGGTGGCCGAGCGCCCCTGAAATGGAACATCATACAACCAATAGACTGCAAACCTCCAGCACAACTCTGAGACATTAGACTGCAGGACTTGCAGGAATCTTGGGCCTGTTCAATCTTTGTAACCAACTGCCTTAACCAGCTCTGGAGTGTTGACCCCAGTAAATGTACTTCACATGCTACCAAACCCCCCAAAGGTGTAGATTAAAACTTATACTGTTTATATTTGTGACACTGATGTGAGCTCAGTGAGTCAAGGAGTCGAAAGAAAGATTTCTTGGACTCTCAAGGTCTGGAGTAGTCCTCTTTTATTCAGAGAATAGCATGGAATAGCATGGGGACAGGACCCATGGGCAGTAAGAGCTGCAAACATGGGTTGAGGGGAGGGCCAAATTTAAGGCGTAGGTATGTGAGTTATCTCTTTACAAGACAAAGGAAAGAGTAAGTAAAAAGAGTCATTAAAATGGTGTCAGTGTAGGTGGGGTCTGGTTATTGGGTGGTCCTATAACTTTAGACAGGAATCAGATCGGATTAAGTCAGGACCTCCTGTGCTTCCCAGAGGATGATATAGATCAGTATGTAGGGCAGGATGCCTTGGACTTCTCTCCCTGGGGCAGCCTTGATCTTCATCAATATTGTGATTTATAATAAAAAATATATACAGTATTTGGTCTCCATCCTCATTTCTGGCACAGAGATTCTAAAACCCTTGGAATTTCCTAAGGGATGAGAGCCTTAAAGGCATCTTTTGTTATGTTAATGAGTGACTTTTGGACCACACTCAGGGATGGGGGCTGGTTGCCAGGGGAACCAACCATATGATTAGAGGGTTGGAACTTCAGTCCCAATCCCCTGACCTCCAAGGAGGGAGAGAGTGGCTGCAGGTTGAATCAATCCTAATGGTTGGTGATGTAATCCATCATGCCTATGTAATGAAGCTTCCATAAAAACCCAAAGGGCCAGGGCTCGGAGAGCTTCCGGGCTGGTGAACACGTGCAGTTGCAGGGAGAGGAGAGTGGCGTGCTCAGAGGGCTTGGAGGCTCTGCACCCCTTCCCCATGCTGTCCTGTATGCATCTCTTGCATCTGGCTGTTCCTGAGTTATATCTTTCTATAATAAACTGGTGATCTAGTGAGTAAACGGGTTTCCTAAGTTCTGTGAGCCATTCTAGCAAATTAATGGGACTGAGGGAGGGGGTTGTGAGAACTACCAATCTGTAAAAACCTAGGTTTGTGATTGGTAACTGAAGGGGGGCACAGTTTTGTAGGACTGAGCTCTCAATCCGTAGAATCTGATGCTGTCTCTGGGTAGTCAGTGTCCGAGCATTGCTTGTTGGTACAGTGAAACCTCCCCCTCCACATGCATTGCACCTGGGTCCGGAACTTTTAATACTGAAGTCTTTTTAAAGGAAATCACCATGCAAACACCATAACACACACACACAGACGCACACAAGACTAACTGGAGAAAGGCAAGGAATTCAGTCAAGGTCTTCTTGACCAGGTCTCCTTAGGGACAAGAGGAAGGCCAGGATCCCTTCACACATTCTCCAAGTACAAAAATAGGAATCTGATTTAAAATTTGTCTTCATTTTTCCTGGAATCTCCAGTTCTGCAATTTTTGTCAGTCCCACCAGAGAGCAACCTTTCTGCATTTATGCTCCTACTTGGTAAAGCACTTGTGTCATCTCAGCACACACACCCCACTCCCAAGTCTGAGCAGAATCAACCTTTTTTTTTTGAGGAAGTTTGGCCCTGAGCTAACATCTTTTGCCAATCTTCCTCTTTTTTTCCATTTTCTTCTCCCCAGAGCCCCAGTACATAGTTGTATATCACAGTTGTAAGTCGTTTTCTAATTCTTCCATGTGGGATGCCGCCACAGCATGGCTTGATAAGCAGTGCTAGGTCCACACCCAGGATCTGAA